TATGGTTACCTGAAGAAAGAGAGACTGAGATTGTGGAATTAAGGAATCATCGGCCAAACCAAGTAAAAAAATAAGAAATTACTACATATTTATAATTATAAATAAATATAATAAAGGTGATTACATTTAAAAGATCGCATTTTATAACAATTCTGTATATTCGTTCAACAACAAAAAATCTGTATATTTTTCTTTCAAAAAAATAATGCATATTTTCTTTAAAAAAAGTCATTTATTTTAATTATTACTTTGTAATTACTACGTATTTCACAGAAAATAAAATAACTAAAAAGAAATGAAAACAAGATGAATCACAATCTATTTTTTATAAAAAGTAATCTTTATACTATCGTATAACATATTGCAAAAAATACATGCATCATCATAGAGCATTTCAAGATTGACTTCAGGGAAAATTTGAGAAATATGAGCAAAAACGTCTCAAAAATCTAAAATATGACTTTTTATTTCTTAAAGAGGAGTAATTATTGTTAAACTTGGAAAATATTTTAAAATTAAAATCCAGTACTAAAAAATATGGCAGTAATTACTCTTATTTAGAAAATAAAAATGTTATAATTCTATTTTCAAATCCATAAACATTTTTTGTCCTATTTAGATAATTTCTCTTTCTCCTAAACATCACAAAAATTAACACCAACGCATTAAAAGTACCAAAAGTTAACTATCCTCAAAGCTCAATCCTCAAAGCTCAATGATATTAATAAGGGTTGGTTTGTAACTGCTTTTAAAAAAGCACTTCTCAGCTTTTGGCTTTAAAAAAACACTTATTTTCCCAAACATTACAACTTTTATTTTTTCTCGGCTTCCGCGTCAAAAGTGTTTTTACTTTTTCTATTACACAAAAAGCACCTATTTTACCAAACACTACTCACTTTTACTTTTTAAAATCACTTTTTTCTCAAACACTATCAACTTTTATTTAATCACTTCTCCCCATTTCATTAAAAAAAGCACTTTTTTAAAAGCAGAAGCTGTTGCAAACAGACCCTAAAGCTCATAGCCTAGCACCATCTTAAATACTCAATTACATTAGTGCAGTCAAATTCATAAAGGACTTTATACACAAGTACCTTTATGAAACCTTGTTATGTTTTGTATTTCTGTTAGACTTAAATATGTTTTTGGTCCCTCCAAATATGACACATTTTAGTTTAGGTCCCTGCAAAATATTTTTTTGGTTTTTCATCCCTGTAATATGCCCTGATTTGTTTTTTGTCCTTGTCTCATTCCAAAACCACCCTACTTAGAAAAAAAATTATTGTGAGTTGCATAAATTCACTAGCAATATTTAAATTTATCCTTTAATAATTTTTTTGAGGCTAATATGAGAGCTAAAATAATGTAAAACTAAATATTCACATTTTTAAAATGTATATTAAAAGTCTTTGAAAAAATAAAATCAAATACTTTTGTAATAACATGACATGGGATTATAGGAAATCTATTAGTCGGGATTAGTTTCAGATCAAACGGATGTTGATATCATCGGTGATGGACCAAAAAGAAAACTAACATAAATTGCAGGGACGAAAAACAAAAAAATAATTTTACAGGGATGTAAAACAAAATGTACTATATTTGCAGGGACTAAAAAGATATTTAAACCTTCTTGTTATTGTCGATTTATTAGCAAAAAGAATCTCATTCTTACTTCTTAGACCATTGTAGTGGTTAAGGATTAGGAGTCAAAAAAATTAAAAATGGAACTTTTAGACTATTAATTGAATGTAGTGGAGGATTAAAAGAGGGAGTAAAAATGGGAAGGGAAGTGAAAGAGTGTATAAATAAATGCTTGGGACAGAGTAAAAAAATGGGGGAGGGGCTGCCTGCACGTCTTCGTATGCTGTTGCAAAGAAGGCAGACTTCCTTTGACATCATTATTATCCCAAATTGTTTCAAACTTCTATAACTTTTGTATTTGTTCACCAATCGTTTCAAAAACTAACTATATCAAAATTTATGAATTTTTAATATATTTCATATGACACCATTATGTAATATATAAAATGAAAATAATAAAATCCGAAGTTTTAACTGTTTGAAGTTTTCTTGAGCCAAAAAACACGAAACACAAAATTTTGATTTATGGAGCCTTCAAAAGTAACTTAATATTCCATAATCGAACTTTGCTTGAACTAAGTTCATTTTTTGTTAACCGAAAAACATTAAAAAAAATTAATGAAATTTACTTATTGTTACATCGAAATGTGTATTTTTTATTTCATAATTATTCAGGGAAAAAAATAAAAGTAAAACATCACTTATAATAATTTAGTTAATGTTTTACTAAATTAATAAGTAAAAATATGCAGAGTGTATTTTATTGACGGTGCACGAGTGCAGGGAAAAAACAGTATTGACAGAGTCTAAACACTATTTTCATATGAACGGAATCCAAATTTAACAAGTTGGACTCTTGACCACTACAAATGGTCTTAGCATTCGAAATCAAGCATAGTATGTACTTCTAGGCTTGCTTCGGCGGAAACCGGGATCACCGGCGGGGCGCTGCCGTGGTAGGCGCGCGATCATTGTGGTCGATGAAGAAGCATCAGTCGACATGATTACCGGAAAAAAAAAAATAAAACCCTAAGACTCTTGATACCATGTGAGAATAATGAGGAAGTGCACCTTAATGGTAGTCCCGGAAGTATTATTTATAATAAAAAATAAGATTCCTACTATAATCAGGCAACGTAATTAACATTAATAAATACATTATTACCTTTCTCCTTTATAGTCTTTCTTACACTTTTTCGCAATACCCAAAAGTCAAAGATATCCTCTTGAAGCACCGCTCGGCCACGGATCCGGAACCTCTTCCTGGCTTTGCAGCAAGGTAGGGTGTCCGGCCTATTAGGGGCGTCGGATCAAGAAACCAACGGCAACCGATCTTGGTGGACCGCATCTCGAGGCGCCTCCTTCCACGTCTGGCCGTCTGTGGCCGCAAGGCACCTCTGCCGTGCGGCAGAGGATCTGAATCCCTCGGCCACTCCCCAACACCTCTCTAAGACTCTAAACCATGCTAGTGAAAAGGACACTATAGAAACAGGTGAGAGACATATTCCAAATAGGATTTGCAAAATCAGCATGCTATATCCATCTCAGTAAACATGTGGGTTTCACATATAGGGAGCCTAATCTTCTTTCTCAGAATCACAAAGTTTTTGTGTGGGATGCACATTTCCAAATGAGATACATTCATGGTTTGCTTTCTCCTTTAGTCTTGAGCATGCCATTTACCCTCCATGCGGTGAACTTCCCACAAGTAGTAAATGTATTTAGTTTACATCACTCCCTCATATCAATTCAATCAATTCATCTCTAATTCTAATCAAGCGGTAACCAAGTGGATACCCTACATGAAGGTGTTGATTCGCAAACATTTTCTCCTATGAGATGCATAATGTGAACTCATTCGACTGAGAGCATATCTTTCTGAACTTCAAATGGATATTTCATAGTCTTTGCTAACAGTGTTCGTTGAATTTTTTATCTGTTTTCCTTCCCAAGACCTCCCTCTTCTTTTGGCTTGCCCACAACCACACATGTCACTTTAGCATTAGGACCCCTATAAGATTTGAATGCACTAAGAAGTAATTGTCTCCAAAACTGCCACAAGGATAGGAATGGTTGGAGCCAATATGTCAAGACTCTTTGTATCACAACTCTAATGAGTTCTAACCTACTTGCATAACTCATACATTTCATTTTCCTTTTTGAGATGAAACCATCATTTTTTTCAAACATATGGGAGTATTGGGCAATGGAAACCATCATTTTTTCAATCATATTCAATATAGAATTTTTCTTTTGTCCATTTAGAATTACAAAGAATGTACTAGTATTTGATTTGTCAATGCTAATGACCATACCTACTATCTTGTGAAACTTTTATATACACTTCATAAGTGTCATGATTGAGGATATGTCCCTTTTAGATAAAACATTAAGCAATCAGCAAAGATAAGGTGGTATTCCCTCCGTCCCGAAATAAACGTCCTGATTTGACTTTCACACAGATTAAGAAAATGAATTTGACTGCACATTGTTTGGCACTGTAGCGACACTGTTAGGCACTGTAGCGACACTGTTTGGCACCGTTTTACACTGTTTGACACTGTTTTGTATAGATTTGTTTACCAATAAAGAAGTGAGACATTTATTTTGGGATGGACCGAAAAAGAAAGCAAGACATTTATTTCGGGACGGAGGGAGTATATTTTTAGTTTTCCACATTTGTGAGGAAAGTAAAAGTCGGGATTACAAGTTTATATACTCCATACTCTGGATAGATAATCCATACAAAATAGGACTAGAGTAATGACAGTGATCCCCTTATCTCAATCTATCATCCCTCTCTTTAAGGGAATCCCAAAAGATAATACTGCGTGTCATGTGCTTTCTCAAATGGGGCTTCTAGATGAGGCAGACTTCCTAGAGTACTCTACACAAAACGTTGTTCACAATATCCCTAATCCCTATTCTCTACAAAGAACTTTGCACTGGATTAATGAGCTCAACCAAGAGAGTACTCATCCAGTCATCCTCTTAACCAGGATATTTGTAAATTGTAATAGATTTATATACAACATCAGTACATGACATAAGGGTTATGTGAACATTTAGGGATCAAGACGATGCATGTATGGCTTAATATGTTTCACTTATTAAGTTCAAAAATATACCCATATCTTATAGTTCAATTCATTGCCCTTCTTTGATGAATTCATTTCAAGCTTACCAATTTTTGTAATTGCCACATTTAAATTTTATCAGCTCTTAGTTTTATTTAAACTCTAGTCCCAGTTACGATGATAAAATTAGATTTCTTATTCAATTTATTTTAGAGTCATTATTAGTTTTTAGATAACTTAAGTTACTTTTCTTTAATCACAAATGTAGTTTAGACAATCATAAATTCTTTTAATTAAGAGGGCATCCAATAATTTGAGTTTACCTATGACCGCAATTAAAATAAACCATTTGTCATTGTTTTGAGACACGATACTCAAGACCACCCGGAAAGGTTAAACTCTGTTGAACCAGAATACAAAACGCGAAAGCGGTTTATCAATCATAAATTTACATAAGAAGCTGATCCCAATTGAACCATAACACAGGTGGAAACCACAAACTCTTCAGCTAAAATCAGTCATCCAAGATGTTTTCTTCTTTCTCCACTAACCATACATATACTATATATTCATGCATATATACAAATGGTTGTGAACCAATCTGGCAATTCAGAAATTCCAGTCAACAAGGCTCTTTACTTCATGCCACAGCATCCGCCTGTCGTTGAGCTAATCGCGCATACAAGCCACCACTGTGAAGAAGCTCCCTGTGGTTGCCCATCTACAAGCATTATGGGTTTTAATTGAGTATCATGGTGCTTATCTCAATAATAAGAGTTTTAACTAATAATCATGGCGCTTACTTCCATAATACTTCCACTATCCATGACCACTATCCTGTCTGCAGCTTGAATTGTAGAAAGTCTGCAGGAAGAGGTTCATAAATAGTAGACTAATAACGTTCAGAAGTTGGTATACTGGGAATATAGTGATAATAGAGCAGGCAGTCACCTGTGTGCAATTACTATTACAGTTCTCATCGTCTTCAAGTCTCTTCTGAATGCACGAAGGACACCCTAAATTCAATGTAATAGTATGAGTCAGGATTTGGAGTTACAATAATATCCTGCTAATTTTTTGGGGTAGGTTGTCAACCTAATATTTTTTTGGATGAAGGTTAATAGATTGAGATTAAAAATAAATACACACAGGTGCCAAGGGTCAACCTAATAATAAATTTATAATAGCCTGATACCTTGTGTGCCGTGGCGGAGGAAGGAATTAAACCAGCTATCACCACAGATATAATAAAAGACTTTTATAAGTTACAACCGTCAAAAGTCAGAATCATATTTTAATTTTTTCTTCTGTGTAATTACATTTACAAAAAAAAAATCTTTCTTATGAAACATGACACATTTGGGGGGGAGATTTGAAAAATGGCTATTTCTGGGGCAGAGGAAGTCTTTGTAAACACCTTGACACATGAAAAACTTCAGTTATTGCCATACCAGACCCCCTATTGCATCCCGCCATTGTTGATGTGGACCATGTGGTATGGCTTCAGACAAATAGTATTCAACAAAGCATATTGGACTAGGCAGATGGCAAACTGATGCTTAGTTAGGAGCATGTAGATGCGAATTTTCGGACCTCATACTCTAAACAAGAAAGGAGTTCATACCTAATTTAATCTCTCTACTGTACACTAATACTCGATATGATTCTGGACTTTTTTAGTACTCAATTTGGAGCTAGGCAATGTAATTTGGTCCAGTTGAGTTCTTGAGTATTTGGCTATAAATAAGAAGGGAAAAGGTGCAAATAGGCCCATGTACTAACAAAAAAGGTCAAATAAGCCCTTATTTAGGAAGTTCTGTCCGGCCGTCGTCATTTCGGGTGGTTCCCGGTGGAATTTTTTGATGAAATTTTTTGAGCATCTTATTCATTAAGTCTAGTTTACTCATACCAAATTTCAGCTAAAACTTCAATCAGGAAGGCATTCAAATGAATTCTTGAAAATAACTGCGCAGTTAGAAGCGCAGTTATCTTCAAGAATTCATTTGAATGCCTTCCCGATTGAAGTTTTAGCTGAAATTTGGTATGAGCAAACTAGACTTGATGAATAAGATGCTCAAAAAATTTCATCAAAAAAATCTACCGGAAACCACTCCAAATGGCGACGGCCGGGCAAAGCCTCTTAAATAAGGGTTTATTTGACCTTTTTTGGTTAGTACATGGGCCTATTTGCACCTTTTCCCAAATAAGAATGGTACTTCAATCAAAACTAAATTTAAACCAAATTTAGGATTCAGTTTGGTACTCAGCTGTGTAGCTTTGACCTAATGTAACCCTCAATGGACAAAAATACGCTTTATAATTAGAAAATATGTATGCATGATGACTAAATTGAGTCTTAATTCCCCCAAAAAAAGTCATGGATCAATTGGTCAATAGTACTCCAGATGTCCCTCAAAATGGCATCCCTGTGAAACTATATGGTTAAAAATTTAGGAAAATGCCAGGGGAACACAAGTTGTACACAACTTGTACACACAATGTCGGTCACAGACATTTGGTACGGAGTTGCCTGTGACCACAGACAAGAGTTGTCTGTGTACACAGACAAATTTTGTCTGTTTCCACAGACATTTACTTTTTTTGTAAAAAGTACTTGCCAGTGTCAGGCGGCTCTCAGTGTACTTTTTACAGAAAAGTAAATGTCTGTGACCGACATTGTGTGTACAACTTGTGTACAATTTGTGTACCCTATCATTTTCCAAAAATTTATGAATGAAAGAGAAAGAACATCTGACCATGCCGCCGTTCTTTCCTTAAAAAGAAAAGAGTGATCTTATTTTGGGACAAAGAGAAAAGGAAAAAGTAAACCTTTATTGTTCGGCAGAGTGAGTATATATAGTTTAAGGACTAAATCCGGCACATATACTCCAACAAAAAAATACCTTAATGTTGTGTTCACTCTCTGCATCTAGAGCACTGGTTGCTTCATCAAGGATTAAAACATCTGGATCTCGAAGAAGAGCCCTAGCAATTGCTATTCTTTGCTTTTGTCCTCCACTTAGCAACTCATCATCAACAAGAGTTCGGTAACCATTGGGCAAAGCCAAAATGAAATCATGAGCAGAGGCCTGCTTGGCTGCCCATTCCACATCTTCCTGGCTAATATTCAGTGTGCATCCATACCTTATGTTTGAACTGATATCTGTGTGGAAAAGCCGAGGTTCCTGTTGAAAAAATCCTCAATGAAAACACTACCTACAAAATCTGTTTATTTTTATGTTAGGTCATATTTTGGGTGGGAACCTGCCCGACATAGCCAATTCTCTCTCTCAACCATTTAATGTCCAGATCTTTAACAGGGTATCCATTGATCCGTACCTATTTACAATTCAAGAGGTAAATCAGGAAAAAGATTATTTTGCTAAATACGTGAAGATATGGCCATATCACCATATGTGTGAAAAAAGGCTCCAAATTTATCAAAATACACATAGCTTTCATGCAATGTGCCAAAAAGGAGTCAAAGACAAATCACATATGGTAAATTTCGAATAAACCAACAAAGAAATCATAAAAATACAAGTACAATTGAAATGTTTCATGACAGTTGAACATCAGCAAAATTTTAAAAATGGTACATTGGTCAAACTTCAATCTTTATTCGGAATGGAGGCAGTAATGAAGTTTACCTGGCCACTTGTTGGCTCATAAAGGCGGAGGAGGAGGCTCACCAAAGTGCTTTTTCCACTACCACTAAGAGCATCTCCAATGCTATAATGTCCACGGTGTACATGTGGCATGAGTGATAGCCACAAAAATATTAGCAAATAAATTATTTCTCTCCTTATTTGAATGATTTTATACAATTTTGGTAAGTTTTTTCCTGCAATGTCAACAACAATGTCAACATCTAGACGGTCTCCTTGATAGTGTGGAGAAAAACTTACCAAAACTGTATAAAATCATTCAAATAAGGAGATAAAGAATTTATTTACTAATATTTATGTGGCTATTTTTCATGCCACGTGTGTACCGTGCACATTTTACCATTGGAGATGCTCTAAGACCAACCTGTCAAAAATTAAAGTTAGCTAATCAAAAGTGTGGATTTTTTTCAATTAACGTAAGATTATATTCCACTTTTTTTTCACGCCTGTCGGATCATCTTCACTTTTCATCCATTACTTTCATTTTTTTAATTTTGGTGACAGACTACAGATTTCTTGTCACTTTTAGTCCTTCCAATTACTTATCCGACCAATTTTGTACTTTATAGTTTATATGGTTGGCTTGTCACCGAATAGGTGATTGGAAAGATCGGAAGTGGCAAGAAATCCATACGTGTGCACGACAATTACAAAATATGAAAGTCGGGTATCAAAAGTGAAAATGAATAAATAGTTGTGGGACAAAAATTAGAACTTTATATATATGTATATGTACATATATATATATATATATATATATATATATATATATATAGAAAAGATCAGGTCCCTCCGGAGGGACGGGAGGGACCGTCCGAACTTTACTGTTTGGGGCGGTTCCCGGTGGAATTTTTTGATGAAATTTTTTGAGCATGTTCCTCATCAAGTCTAGTTTGTCCATACCAAATTTCAGCTCAAAATTCGACCGGGAAGGCAGTCAAATAAATTCTTGAAGCTTACTGCACATTCAACTTCAAAAAATGATTTGAATGCCTTCCCGGTCAAATTTTGAGCTGAAATTTGGTATGAACAAACTAGACTTGATGAAGAACATGCTCAAAAAATTTCATCAAAAAATTCCACCGGGAACCGCCCCAAACGGCGGAGTTCGGTATGGAAATATAATTCACAAATAATGGCCTCACCTCATAGGGTGTCCACATGTGTATATTTATAATAAGCAATAGAAAGGGGAAATTACAAATATGTCATCTATTATATATTATTACACCCCCTCAATCTGTGCAGGGGAAACAACGCGCAGATTGGCACGTAAAAATTCAAACCGCTGACTAGATAAGCTTTTTGTAAAAATATCTGCCAACTGCAACTGTGTAGGAACATATTTGACCACAAGATCTCCATGAGCAACACGTTCTCTGACAAAATGGTAGTCAATCTTGATATGCTTACTACGATCATGTTGTATAGGGTTAATGGCAAGATAAGAAGCCGAGACATTATCACACCGGAGTTGCACAGGGGCCGAAATGGTAATGCCCATATCTGTCAACAAGGATCGAATGAAGAGAGTATCCTGAACCGTATACGCTATAGCACGGTATTCAGCTTCAGTGGATGACTTTGACACGGTAGGTTGTTTCTTGGACCTCCAAGAAATTAAATTACTACCCAAAAAGACGGCATAACCTGTGGTAGAGCGGCTACTATCCGGACAACCAGCCCAATCCGCATCAGAATAGGCAACAATGAGAGAGATATCAGGATTGGACTGAAGCCATAGGCCATGATCTACTGAGCCCTGCAAATATCTGTAAATACGCTTCACAGCCAAAAGGTGAGTAGTACGAGGAGCATGCATGAACTGAGAGACCAAATGCACAGCATAAGTAATATCAGGTCTAGTCAAAATCAAATACTGTAATGCACCTACCATACTACGATACTCAGTAGCATCGGTGAGAAGTTCACCATCAGTCAGAGAAAGGGTGGTTCGTGACGGTAAAGGAGTACGAACGGGTTTCACTGTGTGAAGATGAAATCGTCGTAATAAGTCGGAGATATATTTTTGCTGAGAAATAAATAATCCCTTAGGTGTACGACGAGTCTGAAGACCCAAGAAAAAATGTATATCGCCTAAATCTTTCATGGCAAACTGTGTGGATAAGGACTGAATAATGTGACGAACAAATGATATAGAAGAACCAGTAATTAAAATATCGTCCACATACAAAAGAACGTATACTACCTCAGAACCACGACGAAACACAAACATGGATGAATCAGATTTACTCTGAGAAAAACCATGTGTGAGAAGAAACCCACTGAATCGATGGAACCAGGCACGAGGAGCCTGTTTGAGCCCATATAACGCCTTTTTGAGGCGACAAACATGATTAGGGAAAGAAGGATGGATAAAACCTTGAGGTTGACGCATATACACTTCCTCTGTGAGATGTCCATGAAGAAATGCATTTTTTACATCAAGCTGGCGAATACACCAACCAAGAGAAACAGCGATGGACAGAACAAGACGAACAGTGGTAGGTTTAACAACGGGACTAAAGGTTTCAGTGAAATCTATACCTGCCTGTTGCTTGAACCCTTGAGCAACCAAACGCGCTTTGTGGCGCTCAACAGAACCATCAGAATTATATTTAGTCTTGTAAACCCACTTACAACCAACTACATTTTTAGTGCAGTCATAAGGTACTAATTCCCAAGTCTGATTTGCTAGTAACGCATTAAATTCATCAGCCATGGCATCCCGCCATACAGAAAATTTTTGTGCCTGAGAATAACATGTCGGATCATCCGGTGGTGCAAGAACACTTAAATTAAAAATGGTCTTAGGTTTAAAAATCCCATCTTTAGAGCGGGTCTGCATGGGGTGAATATTAGCAACCGGGCTAGGTGACGGGCTGATGGATGAACTGTTGGAAGGCGGACTGTCCACCGAGGACAAACTGCCATTTGATGAACTGCCAGGCGAGGTGGGGGATGCTGGTGGAGTATTGTGTGGGGTTTGTGGTGGAGTATTATTATGGGATGCGGGTGGAGTATTGTGTGGGGTTTGTGGTGTAGTATTATTATGGAAAGAGGGAGCATACGTAGTGGGTAATACGGGTGACATGATGCATGGTTGTGATGGATTGTCTGAGGTAGGAGCTGTGGGATTAGCTGGAGAAATGGTGGGAACCGGTGGTGAGGATAATTGAGGGGACCGTATACATGTGATTGGCCAGGAGGTTGATAGAGGAGACATGGTAGGTGGACAACGGACCAGGTGAGGATATGGGAAATTGTGTTCATGGAACTGGACATCTCGGCTAATATAAACTCTACCAGTTAAAGGATCTAAGCAACGATACCCTTTATAGCCCGGAGCATACCCAATAAACACACAACAAATGGAGCGCGGTGAGAGCTTATTTGAAGACTTGGCAATGAAATTTGGAAAACAAGCACACCCGAAAACACGTAAAAAATTAAAATCAGGAACTTTATTAAAAATCATCTCAAAGGGAGTTAAATTTTTCAAAAGTGGTGTAGGAAGGCGATTGACAATATAAGTAGCTGTGTAAAGAGCATCAACCCAAAAACTAGGAGGAAGCGAAGATTCAATTAACATTGTCCTAGTTAATTCAAGTAAATGACGATGTTTTCGTTCTGCTACGCCGTTCTGAGCGGGAGTATCAGGACATGATTTTCTGAATAAAATACCTGTTTTTAAAAAATGATTGTGAAACATAATATTGTCAAATTCACCACCACCATCACTTTGAAAAAATTTAATTTTTCTACTCAAGAGATTTTCAACAAGAGTTTGAAAATTACAAAAATGATGAAAAACTTCTGATTTGCGGCGCATAGGATATATCCAAGTATAACGTGAAAAATCGTCAATAAAAGAGACATAATATTTAAACCCAAGATTGGATAAAACAGGCGACTGCCAAACATCTGAATGAATAAGCTCCAAAGGAGCAGCACACGAATGAATAACATCCTGAAAAGGTAGTCTGTGGGATTTACCCAACTTACAAGAAACACAATCATGATGAAAATTACTAGAAGCAGAAATAAAATGTTTTTGCCGAAGTGTAGTTAAAACTCTATCACCACAATGCCCCAAACGTTTGTGCCATGTTGGTCCAGGAAGTAGAGTAGTCTGAAGAGCATGAAAAGGGTAAAGATGGTCTTTATTGGAAGCCTGAAGAAGATGCACCCCCGTCTGATTGTCCTTAATAAAAAAAGAATTTTTATTAAAAATCACCGTACAATCATTATCCGCACATAATTTATGAATAGATAATAAATTATATTTAAGATGTGGGACATGATAAACGGAGTTTAATGTAAGGGGACGGCCAGATGTATTAATTTTAACGTTACCAACATGAGAGATAGGTAATTTAGTACCGTTAGCAACTTGCACATTATTAGAGCCAGTATAAGGAGATTTACAAGATAAAATACCTTCGTGTGGGGTCATGTGAGCAGAGGCACCTGAGTCAGGATACCACACAGAGGCATTTGTCTCACCCGAGGGAATAGCAGCTAGAGCAGGCGTAGAGGACCCAGTGAACCGAGGACATGTAAGGGCAGAATGACCTGGTGAAAAACAAATTTGGCAAACAACTGGATGTGGTGGATTGGAAAAATGATTGTCCAGTGATGGAAAACCTGCACAATTACTATGAGTACCGCAAGAAGATAAATGATTAAAGTATGAATAACCAGACCAAAAATTACTCATAAGTGCACCTGAGTGTGCAGCCTGAACTGGTCCACGTGGAGGTCCATAAGACTGCTGGCCGTATGTAACCTGCTGGCCGTGAGCAGCTTGCACCTGGGGCGGAAAAGCTGGGCCATAGTGATGCTGAAAATTACCAAATTGATGCTGAAATTGACCACGACCCCTCCCTCTCTGGCCGCGACCCCGGCCAGCTCGTTGGCCGCGGTATCCTTGCTGTCGGCCTCCTCCCTGTCCGCGAGTTCCACCACGATCCGCAGGTCCATTACGTGCAACAAACGCTTGATGAGTTGGGGGAAGTTCCTGGGAGCGGAGATAAATAACTCGTTGTTCGTGTGCTAGCAAGATCGGACGTAAATTCTCAAGCGTGGCACCACCGGGAAAGTAAGAAACAGCCGTGATCAAGGATTCATATTCGGGACCAAGGCCCGAAATAGTATACTCAATCAAATCTTTATTAGTAACAGGAGAATTAATCAAATTTAAGTTATCTGCCATAACCTTAATCTCCAACAAATATTGTTCCATAGTTTGATTTTCTTTCTTTTTAACATGCGAGAGTTGTCGTTTGAGCTCCATGGACCGAGCCAAACAAGCTGACACGAACCTCGCCCTAAGACATTCCCATACAAGGGCAGAAACTTTAAGGTGATGAACTTCCATTAGAATGTCACGGGACAAAGTGGCGAAGATCCATGAACGAATGGTTTGGTCGATTTTCAACCAATGATGGTACTCCGGATTAGGAGTTTCCCGTCCAAAAGTATCACGAATAAACGGTGTTGGAGCCAAGATGGACCCATCTAGCATCCCAAAAAGATTATGGGAAACTAGGAAAGACTCGAATTGGGTACTCCACGGAAGAAAATCCTCAACGACATTCAATCTAGTAGTAACTATATTGGTCACATTAGGTGTAGAAAACGCTAATTGTGAAGCCAAAGATGCCAAAAGAGTAGAAGAAGTGGTAGAACCTGGCAGCTGGACTAGTGGTGGAGGCGGAAAAGAGACCATACCAGGCTGCCCGGACACGTCGATGCTTGAGGATGACGCGGCATGAGGATGGATAGACGTGGAAAACATGACTGCAGGGGACGTGGAGAACTGCGCGGCCGAAGATGGCGCTCTATACCCGGTAGATGCGGGGTTCCACGAGAAGGGTTCCGGCATATTGAATAAACGATATGATCCCAATGGAGGCGGAATATTGAAGCCTGCTTGCCGAGAAACGGACGATGAGGCTGGAGAGGATACCGAAACTGAAGAAGGCTGCACCGGAGACATGGGCGCCATAGTTGTTGTAATTGTAGGCGAGGAGAAGGCAGGCGCTGTAGAAGCTGCGGCTGAGGAAGACGAGGCCATGAGAGACGTAAGGAAGATGTTGTGCGGCTATGTGAACGAGAGATAACGAGTGCTCTGATACCATATGGAAATATAATTCACAAATAATGGCCTCACCTCATAGGGTGTCCACATGTGTATATTTATAATAAGCAATAGAAAGGGGAAATTACAAATATGTCATCTATTATATATTATTATTCGGACGGCGCCTCCCGTCCCTCCGGCTGGACCTGATCACTTCTCTCTCTCTCTCTCTCTCTCTCTCTATATATATATATATATATATATATAATACATGAGTATGTCCTAGATAGGATGAACGATAGAAACACTTACAATTGCTAAAACTTCACCTGGATTCACTGTGAAGTTAACCTTTCGAAGTACTGGTATCTGTTCAGTAGTAAAAAAACAAATTAAGCTTGTAGATTCACGCAATTTGCGTGTAGGATCTCATTTAAATATGTGTAGGAATGCTAATGATTGAATGAAACGTACCGTTACCCTGGTAGGATAGTGAAAGGTAACATTCTCAAATTGTATGTGCCCTGATAATTTCCCTAATTTTGATCTTGTAGCATTCTCGCATACATTAAGTAAATTGAAGAATAAAGAGATAGTAACTTTACTATGTACTCATAATCTCTGCTAAGAGCCCAACATCGGACAACTAAAAAGAAAATGTTGGGTTACTAAGACCTTTTGTTGAGCTAGCTAATAGAATTGATTTCATCTTTTTAATGTGGTCTAACTAAAGTGTCTTATTGCACAACTTAGTGATCCTAACCTACTCGAATTTCTGAAGAGTTGACTAAAATGGTATGCCATTAATGAAGCAAAGGGTAACATCAGCCATCAGGGGCATGTTTGGATCATGAAAAATTCTAGGGAAAGGTAAGGAACTGCAAAGGAAAGTTATTTTCTTAAAGTCATTACATCATATTGTGAAAATATAGCCACAACTGCCATGTAGATACTTGTTTTTGCAGCAAGTTGCAATTTTTATATATTCACCATAAAAGGGAGAAATATTTTACTGACAAATTTATATATTAAATGAAAACAAAGAACAAAGAACGAACAACATTTCAGATGTCGGAAAGTAAAACCTTTAGCAATGAATTCACTGCTGGGTTCAAGATTCATCAAATGAAAAACCTTTTCACTTGCTCCAACAGACTGCATTAGTGATGACACGCTGTCCCCCAACCACTGCATTAGTGATAAGCCATTCGCTATATAGGATGAACTTCGTAAGTTTCTCTGCTGTTATATGACCAGCTAGAATGAACATTCCTCCTATCACGACAGCAATAACCTAATAAATGTTTTGACAAACAAAAATTATATTTTGCTTACATGAACAAATCATCGTTAAGTTTTAACTATATCAAAGGATCAGAAAATAAGGGCAACATGCTCGGTTCATGCCTAAAACAAATCGACTGTATTACACCTCTAGTGCTAAGTTCCATTTGGTAAGGGTCATTCGGCTTATATGGGTGAATTTGCTATATTTCCAGCCAAATATAGCAAATTCTGCCAAATAAGTCAAAAGCTACTTGATTCTGCTTATTGGCTGGTAAGCATAATAAGACAAACATACCAAACAGGCTCTTAGGTTCTCAAAGCAAAAAGCTCTTAAGAGATCCTGACCTGCATTGAGTGGTAGAGAGTATTGAATCCAGAACTCCAAAATCCATATGCAGCACTCTGTCGCAGGCTTATATCAGCTAACCTACCCAACCACTGTGAGTATCTGCTTATAAACAAAGTTATATACAATTGTTAGTATCTGTTTTACAAGACTTTGGGTTGAACTACCTAGTAGATTAAATTCAATCTTTTAGTGTGGTTTGGACCAAATGCCTTATGGCCCAGTTAAGTGACCCCAACCCAATTCTGAATCCATTCATACTTGATAACTTGGTACATAATCAATAAATGAGTACAGTTTCCGAATTTTTGCATTTTTTCCCTTTTAAACATCAGGGTTGTCTGCATTTAAAAACCCCAGTAGTGAGTAAACCAGAGGTTTACCTTTCGAGTTCTAGTTTCTCAGTCCCATACGCACGAATAGTCCTCATTAGAGAAAGAGTCTCTTGAGCAACCTAATGTAAGATGAAAAAGAAACTCAGTCCTCCAGGAACAAGAAGATGAGAACATGAGCATCCCAAAATTACCTCATTGGAAGAAGCAGTGTACTCTTGAATCAACTTAGCTGCATTCTTTTGCTACCTATAGAATGAACAAGTCATACAGAAGGGTCATGATTGACATTAAGTTTTTAACATTCACAAGTACAACTGCCATAAATCTTGAGTCCTGCTTATATTTTTCATATTTATTTGTTGATTTAACTACAACTATAAAAGTTAATGCATGTTATTTCTATTTTAGCATTTTTAAAGATTTGTCTTTCCATGAATCTTGAGATTCTTAAGTGTTGGATCTCTCAAGTATAACAGCATAGGAAAGCTTACCGGCCATATAATAGCATTAAGATTGATATGGTAGAACAGATTGCTAATGTGCACAAGCCAAGTGGCCATGACAAAACCAATAAGTAAATCAGAGCAACTATTCCCTGAAATTTTGAGAAAAGGATGAGATTTCATGTTCTAAAACTTCCGCAGTCTGTTTGGATCTCGTAAAATGCTGGGTGGAAAACGGGGAGCAAAAAATATTGAGGTGAACTGGAATGAAAGAACATGTCAAAGGAAAAACGTAGGGGAGACATAAAAAGCTGATACAGACTCAATATCTTAACTTTATGCATTTGTACAAACTCATTTTAGTTGAATAAAGACTATGATAATGAAATATGTTTGAAATTTCAATTTTTAACCCTGAAATTTGATATTTCTTCTTATTTCCCATAGTAAACTGAAGCATAAAGTAAGAAAAAATGCTTCCTATAGCATTTTTCCTTACGTGCCATTTTAGGAGTTCCAAACATAGTCCTTTGCAAACTCATGAAGACTTTTGAAACTAGTGAGCAACATAACCTGAAGAAGATTACGTAGTATCAAATTGAGGTCATTTCCAATTACACGAGACACATGCTGACAATCTGCTCCGAGCCTACTTGTCAGATCACCAACTGTTTCAGAGTCAAAAAAAGAGATATCCTACAAAGGAGTTGGCTTTGAATGAACATGTAATCCTTCGTAGTGCTTTGTACTTGTACTAACAAGGAAAATGGAGGGAAACTGTTTCTGATAAATGACATTTTGACATGATAAAATAATGATAAAGTTCACAAATAGCTTAGATTATTAGGGCCTGTTTACTAACAGAGATATTTTCCTGTTTTCTACTTCTGTTTTTCGTTCTCCAATTTTCTGTTTTTATTTTTCAGTTTTTCTATCTCCAATTTTCTGTTTCTATTTTTCAGTTTTCCATTCTCAAATCTGAAAACATGTTCATCAATTTTTTCACTCAGTTCTCCAATTCCACACCCTTGAGTCCTTGACCCCTACCCCTACCCTTACCACGATCTTACTCTACCCATACTCCCCCACAACCCTTCATACCCACCCATACCTACTCGTAGGGGTCGGGGTAGGGAAGTTATGGGTGGGGGTGGGGTAAGGGGTATAGTCGGGGTGGGTGGTAAGGTCTAGGGGTAGGGGGTTGGGTGGGTTAGGGTTGTGGTTAGGGGTAAGGGTGGGGTAGTGGGTAGGGTTGGGGTAAGGTAGGGGTAGGGTGGGGAGTTGGGATAGGATGGCGGTAGGGTGGGGCCGATGTAGGGAAGGGGTATGGTGGGGGGGTAGGATGGTGGTTAAGGGTGGGGGTAGTGGGTAGGGTTGGGGTTGGGGTAAGGTAGGGGTATGGTAAGGAGTTGGGATAGGATGGCGGTAGGGTGGGGCCGAGACCAGGGTGGGGCCGAGGTAGGGAAGGGATAGGGTGGGGGTAGTGGGTTAGGGTTGGGTAGGGGTAGGGGTAGGGTAGGGAGTTGGGATAGGATGGCGGTAGGGTGGGCCCGGGATCCGGGTTGGGCCGAGGTAGGGGAAGGGTAGGATGGGGGGGTAGGATGGTGGTACGAGGGTGGGGGTAGGATGGCGGTGGGGTGGGGCCGAGGTGGTAGGGGTTAGCGGTAGGGTGGATCGGTGTGGGGCTGAGGTAGGGGGCATGTGATAGGGGGTAGGGTAGGATCATTATAGGGAAAAATGGGTACGCGGGGTAAGGTTGGGTGGGTAGGGTAGGGTAGGGTAGGGGTAAGGGGTAAGGTACAAGGATGGAGGTACCGGAATGGAATCGACATCGGAGCGGGACCGGACCCACAACTAGGTGTAAGTATGCAAATTCATTGCAGCGGCACTGTAGCATCTGCGTTTTCCAAATTTGGAAAACTAGTAAAAGTCACTTTTCTAAATCATTAAGGAAAAGAGAAACATGTCTCAGTTTTTCTGTTTTGGAAAACGATTTGGTAAACGCGTTTTTCTTTTTTCCTTTCTCCAGTTTTCCAGAAATTTCTTTGGTAAATACGTTTCCTGTTTTCTGTTTTCCAGTTTTCCAGTTTTCTGGAAAACTGGAAAATATCTCTGTTAGTAAACAGGCCCTTAGTATTTTAATCTCATTTTTACACTATGTTTATGTTTTGGTCTTATATATTGAGCAATTTATATAACACTTTAACAGATACGTAGTAAAAATTATACAAAAAACAATAATCAATAGTCAAATGCTCAATTTAATTACTCAACACTACGTAGTTATTTAGTTAATACGTGAGTAACCTGTGGTATTGCAATGCAGAGGCTATTGTGTTACGGAGTATTTTTTTATTTGGACTGACTGCACTAAGAGTTGGGTGGATTAGAATATTAGATACGTGGGGGCTGGGGGCATTTAGTTATTTTTATTGGGGGCAATTAAGAGGGCTAATTTTTTTTCCTAATATATTATATGGAGTTATGGAGAGTTTATTGGGGGCAGCTGCCCCCCATATCACTAGTGTGCATCCGCCCCTGGACGAGTGTCGTTCCGTGGAATATGTCCAAAATAAATTATTTTACTCCTAAAATGTTAGGTGATCCCATTTGCTTATTTTAAATTGTTACTCCCCCCGTGCCAGGTGGACAAAATGGTTTGGTTTAATCAAATCGGAAATTGGTGGTTTGGTTTGGATTTACTTGAGTATGTCGTTTGGTAAAAATTTGCTCAAATCGAATGGTTTAGTTTGATTTGGTTTTAAAAAAAAACGTAAATAAAATCAAACACCGAACAACTTTTATACATACTCCGTATATATTTAGGTTCAAATGAGAATACCATCTTAGGAAAGAAATAAGAATAAATATGAGTCATTAGATCATGTGCATGTTTGACACACATAAGTCTCTGGCTTTTAGTTTTTGTATTGTTCAAAAAATCTCTAAAAGTTTCTAGGTGTATATTTGGCATGACGATTTTTAAGAGCTTTTCAAAAATTAAAAGATCTTTTGTGAGCTACCGGGAATGGCATATGAGAAAAGCTTGTGACTGTTAGTATTAATTATCTGTACTAATTAGTCTCAATAGCTTGTATATCAAACCGAACTAAATCAAACAGTCAACTTTTCACCAAACAGCTATCACTTTTTCTCTTAAAGATCTTTTCAGTTAACCGTGCCAAACATACCCCACACCCCACATGATTTTACTTAAAGTTTAGATAAGTTTTTTAAGTTACAAATGTTGTTTTGAGCATGATGTTAGCATTTTGAAAAGTATATCAAGTTTTAAGATCTTTGAGTACAAAAACTAGAGCGCTAATCCAGAAAAGTATATCAAGTTTTAAGAACTTTGAGTACAAAAACTAGAGCGCTAATCCAATTAAAAGTTTCATCACAAGTTTTGAGTCGTTCATACATATAATACAGTAACACACTTGCATACTCCACAAAATATAGTCTTCTGGCTACATATAAATATATAATTCGTTATTACTCCCTCCGTCCCCCTAAGTTTGGGACAAAGGAGTGTGGTGTTGTTTTTAAGAAAAAGTGGAATTGTGTGGTTGATATTGAATTGATAAAGTGTAAATAAAGTAGGAATGAATTCTAACCACTCAAATATTACTTTATATGGTATGGGACAAACTTAATGGGACGGACGGAAAATGTAAAACGGGACAAAGTTAGGGGGACAGAGGGAGTATTATTTTTGCATTCATAGCGAAACCCCAAATGCACACTCGCAGCAGCAGCAGATGTTCCCAACACCCTCATGGAGAGGTACTACCTGGAATTATTAATCAGCACAGCCCGTACCGTAAAAACCAAAACATATATACTCGGAATTCAAGACGAAATAAAAAATTGCACCAAGAAACACTTATGCCCCAATGCAATGTTACACCACATATTTACGAGAGCCTATCCGAGTGGAGTAGCTATCACTATACAAAGAACAAATATATCCTGCGCTAGAAGTGTATTACTTACAAAGTAGCAAGTAAATACCAGGTGTGCAGTCAAAAGAAACCAAAGAACAGACTTGTTAGCAATGAAATACCATGCAATTTGAGTCATAGAAACAAGTGTATACTTGCTTTCAGGCAAAAAGAGTATAAAAACGACGCAAAACATTCGCACTTGGCCAAAATTTTGTTTCTTGACGATGCAATCATAAAATGGCCCAAAAATAAAAAGGTCGCAAGTAGTAACATACATATTGCAGGCTTTCAGCCCATGACATTTCCATAATTTGAAATCATCAGGCACTCTCCGATAAATGACGGCCTCAACAGGCACTAAAGGATTGCCATCATTCTCCAGATCTTTGACCAAAAAATCAAGGTAATAAAAATGACCATTTTCCGCAAATTGACGCCCCACCTTATCCACGCTGGCAAACTCGCAACACTTTTCAGGCTACAGATAATAGCATTTAAAATAGTTACATATAGGCTTTGTTTGGCGGGCATAAGTCTCTGACTTCTAGAATTTGTACTGTTCAAAAAGTCTCTAAAAGCTTCTAGTTATATGTTTGGCATGACAATTTTTAAGAGCTTTCCAAAAATTAAAAGATCTTTTTTGAGATGTTACAGGCAGTAGCATTAGAAAAAAGCCCATGACTTTTAGTATTAATTAGCCCTAACAGCTTGTATACCAAACCGAACTAAATCAAATAGTCGGCTTTTTTACCGAACAACTATTGTCTTTTCTTTTTAATATCTTTTCAGTCACCAAAAGCTAACCGTTATTAAAAAGCTTACAAAAGTATCTTTTCAACTAGTTATGCCAAACATACCCATAGAAGATCTGGAGAAACACATAATGTATTTGGCTCAGAAAAATGATGATGAAGTGCTTACACGGTATTTATGGTGCTCATCAACAATCCAATCGCACATAGAGAGGATGGTATCATATTCTTTAGCACCCTTAGCTTTGAGTCCTTCAAGTTTAACAGGCTGTACACCGCCTACAGGCATGCTGGAAAGCCTACTTCGACCTCCTCGTCTCTATAACACAGGAGGAAAAGAAGATTTCAATGTATAACCATGAAAATCACGACAATAGTTGGGTTTTAGCCCCTATGAGATATGGTGAAGGAAGTGCAAACATGATAAAAATTTATATGATGTTGAATCGAATCCAAAAAATTAAAATATGACCATACTTTTTTAGACCACCTCTTCAGCATTTTCTCCAGAGCCTCTTGTGTCAAATCATCAGTTAGCTTCCGACCCTCTAACACACGTTTATAGCGTACATACTTTGTGGGTAGCACAAGAGTCCTCCAAGTCGACTAACAAAACAATGACGACGGCAAAAAACAATTACAAATTAGTTAACCCTAAAATAAATCATACATAAATTTGAAATCGAATCCAATTGGAATAACCGATATTCGAATGCCAAAAAGAAGATCTGGTGGGAGAATCGTTACGATCATATTGAATCACAGCTTATAATCGTACCTCGTCGCTGTCGGAAACCGAATTCGTCCCTCGTTCGGTAGACTCGGAAGTCCCCATTCCGGATTCCAGTTTGTCGAACACTGCTCTGCCATGGGGGGAGACCTTGAACACGATATCGGCCATTAGAGTTGCTCCGCTCGAAGACGTCTTTCCCTGTTCGCGTAACTGGTTTGAGCGTGACTATTAGATTATTCGAAGGTCCTTCTCTATGCACCGCCTTTGCGAATTCGGAATTTGTTTATCTAAATAACTTAAAAGTTGAATTAATGACCTGAATAATACTAGCAGCTTAAGACCGGTCTTGAAAAACGGCAGAAAAGAGACTAATTTAAACTGAAAGGACCAAATGCCCATTATATAAAATCTGAAAACACACCCCTGAACTGTCTGAACTCCTCCCATCTTTCCCCAGCCCGTGTTCTCTCTCCTCCATGACCAGTTTCACGAGCATGAGTGAAAACGAAGATTGAAGATGAGGCGCGGTGGCGGGGGACGCATTCGAAGACGAGCGACGATGACGGGCACGACGACGGTTGATGGTGATAAAGACGGCTCGAAGCAATGGTCTCGACGATAGAGTTCGATATGTTGTGCGCTTGTTTGAATCTAGGTTTTTTTGGCCGATTGGGGGTCGAATCGATGGTGGACATGATTTATAGGCCGTCGGTGGCGGCAATGGCTTCTCATCGCGGGCGGTGCGGTGCGTTTAGGGGTGGTCGGCTTCGCCCTCTTGATATTGGCGGCTAGTTTATGAGGCTGGGGATGGCTGGCCGGGACTGGGGCCTGGGAGGTGTGAATTGCGACTTGGCTGATGAGCTGCTAGGATCTCAAGTAATTGTAATTGACGGGTGGAGTGACTGTAATTACTCAAGTTAGGTAATTGTAACTGGTCGAATTAGGTAATTGTAACTTATTAAATCAGATATATGTATATATATATATATATATATAGGGAATGGTTCAGGTGAGAATACTCTCCTAGGAGAGAAATGAGAATGAAATCTAACCAACCATGTTATAAATCGCACGGCTTAAAACAAAGATTAAATGGAATGTCGAGATCGGCTATAACACACGCGGTCGGAGGGAAAATAGGAAATAATGTATACGTTTAATAACTAAAGGGCATTTTTGTACAAGACTCAAAGTCGTGGATGGAAAGCACGATTACTTTATGGAAACATGTCATGCTTGTTTCCTAATGATTAGGGAAACTAATTCCTTTACGTGATACCGAAAATACGTACTTTTTTCAATTTGGTTATTGAAATCATTTTTTTAAATCAATTTTTATTTCTTTGTATTAATCACGTCTTCTTTCTAAGCTAAATACTTTACACTCTGCACAAAAAGGTTTGCATTAAAATTTTGTACCTATGCACTTTTATTCAAAACACTTTGCACAAGTTATATCACATAATTTACACTCAAGTACAAAATAGTCGCACTTTTATTCAAAATTTTATGTAACATCATTTTAATTAAATATTTGAATTTTCGAAAATAGTAATTTAAATAATCAACATCATTCATCAATAAAACAAATGTGAAGAGAAATATCATTTTATCACATTAATATGCACTTTTGTAAACTGCACATCTATGTCAATTATTTTGCACTTTCTAAACATTATACTGCACTTTAGCATACAGGTATGCAATTCCATACACGTACGAATTAGATGAAACTGAAATGTGCATTATGTGAAATTGAAATGTGCAACACAAAGGGTAAGATATAATGACATTATGTGAAGTTGAATTTTGCTTTAGGTGAAATTGAAATGTGCATTAGATGAAACCGAAATGTGCAGAATAAATGGTACGATGTGATGTCATTTTGGTACCTTTTATTCTGCACATTTCAATTTCACCTAATGCACATTTGAGTTTAACCTTTTATTCTGCGCATTTCAATTTCACTTAATGCACATTTGAGTTTAACCTTTTATTCTACACATTTCAAATTCACCTAATGCACATTTGAGTTTAACCTTTTATCTGCACATTTCAATTTCATCTAATGCACGTTTCAGTTTTACCAAACGCATAATTATGTTTCATATAATACAATCCAACGATCCATATTCATTCTCGATTCTCTACCCTGACTATTTTTAAGTTATTAATGTATTAATAATTTTCTTTTTTTAAATATTGTTAAATTTATCTCATTGCAAATTTTCCAAATCTGCTTTTTTTTTAATTAATTTTTTACTAATAGAGAACTATATATATTAATGGTCAAAGTTGTGTATCAACAATGTGAAAAGTGGACCATTTCACTTATTTAAGATCGAATGAAGCATATCAAAGGTGCACAATTACAATAATAAAATATTGACAAATTTAATTATGATAATTATTTGCAAAAAAAATATTGAAAGTGCATGGTAAAGATATTTAAAAGTGCACAGATTGTTTACATTGATATACGGAGTAATATTTAAAATAAAATAAAGTTATGAAAAAAGGAATGCAGCCATGAAAGGAAGTAATTTTAAGTAGATCAAAATATGTACGTAATATAACGAAGTATTATAGTCATAAGGCAAATATAAATTTTAATACGTGAACGATAGAAATAAATAATTAAAAAGTCGCGCGTGTAGATAATTATGTCCTACATAGTGGATAAAGAAGATAGTCAATGCACCGAAAAAATGGGAGAAGCAATCAGACGAGCAAAATAAGGAAGATTAGTGAAATGTCATATTAGTCCCTTAAGTGAAGCCGTAACGGTACTTAAACTTGACAAATCCAACGGTTATGGTGTATTCTCATTTCACTCATTAGATGATATTCTTATTTGAACCAAACTCTCTCTCTCTCTCTCTCTCTCTCTCTCTATATATATATATATATATACACACACACACACATGTATATACATGTATATATATATATATATATATCCTACCTCTGTCCCAAAATTAATTTCACATTCGATTAACGATACTTGACTGACGATAAAGCAACTTGATCCCTGTTCACACTCAGATTATTTTTAGTAAATAAAATTTATATATTCAGAAACTACATTAAAATCGCCACAAAACCTGATCAAGAAAATTTGAGTTTGATAAAAATCTAATATATAAAGTAAAGGATTAGGAGTGATTCAAGTTGACCAATGATTAGTGACTGTGAAGTTGTTTTTGAGACGGAGGGAGTTTTAAAATATGATTCATTCCTCGTAATAGATTAAGAGATATGAGAAGTAGAATGTTCTCTCTTAATCTACTACGAAGAATGAATCATTTCTTGGCTCAACTACTACTTCATGTGCTTTGTGACGCACTCAACACATGTCGTATCTACCCTGATTGAGTGCAAACGTTAGTCATAGTCAAAGTACATCACACCTCACAAGTAGTACGTATTGACCTCAAGTCGGGGGAATATTACACTACTCTATACGCCGATAATTTAATCCCGTAGACACATGAATAAAATTTATCAAATGATTTCTCGATGGGTATACCAATATTCTCTAAAATATCTATGTGACTATCATGAATTACAGGAACGCATACACTATTTAAAAGAGGTTAGGGCACTTAACTTCCCTTAATTGTTATTATAAAACCCGAACCTCGTACTCATAGGTTTTCAAATGCCCTAACCTTTTTTAAATAGTGTATGACTGTCATAAATCTTTTGTAAAACAGGTTTTAAATAGTGTACTCATAGGTTTTAAATGCCCTAACCTGTTAGATTGGCCTACATATTTTAAAACTGTTGTAAATGTGTGCATGTGTGTCTATATATATATACATATATACATATATATATATATATATATAGGGAGCGGTTCCGGTAAGAACAAAACTTAGGAGAAAAATGAGAACGAATCTGGACCGTTGGATTGTATTATGTGGAACCAAATTGTGCATTTGGTGAAACTAAAATGTGCATTAAATGATATTGAAATGTGCAAAATAAAAATTTAAACTCAAGTGTGCATTAGATGAAACTGATATGTGCGAAAAAAAGTACAAAAATAACAACACATCGTACTTTTTATTCTGCACATTTAAGCTTCACCTAGTGCACATTTCAATTTCACGTAATGCACAATTCAACTACACATAATGTCACTCTATCGTACCCTTTGTGATGCACATTTCAATTTCACCTAATGCACATTATAGTTTCATTTAATGCACACTGAATTTCACTTGAAGCAAATCTAACGGTCCAGATTCGTTCTCATTTCTCTCATAAGATCGTGTTCTTATTTGAACCAAAACCTATATATATATATATATATATATAGGTTTTGGTTCAAATAAGAACACGATCTTAGGAGAGAAATGAGAATGAATTTGGACCGTTGGATTTGCTTTAGGGGAAATTCAATATGCATTAGATGAAACTGTAATGTGCATTAGGTGAAACTGAAATGTGCAACACAAAGGGTACGATACAATGGCTTTATGTGAAGCTGAATTGTGCATTATGTGAAATTGAAATGTGCACTAGATGAAACTGAAATGTGCATAATTAAAGGTACGATGTGATGTTATTTTTGTACCTTATATTCTGCACATTTCAGTTTCATCTAATGCACACTTGAGTTTAAATTTTTATTCTGCACATTTCAATATCATCTAATGCACACTTCACTTTCACCAAATGCACAACTCAGATCCACATAATACAATCCAACGGTCCAGATTCATTCTCATTTCTCTCTTGGGAGTCCGTTCTTACCGGAACCGCTCCCTATATATGTATATATGTATCTATATCTAAAATCTTATAATGGCCAATGGGGGTTAATACCCTTATGGGAATAAAAATGTGTTGGTGTAATAGTGTAGCTATATAGAGTTGTACATTATTCTAAAGGCATAGTACCGCTCTTATTTCTTCGTTGCTCTTTGCCCGCAGCTTCCGTTAAGTTAAACCCCGATTCGTTAAATTCATAGTGGCGCACCATCCCATCCTTGTTTAACTTCACGTCTCCGTCTTTGCTTCACTTCCACTTCGTATCAATTCCATTCATTCACAAACATGATACAACCTTATCTCTTCCTGCACTCAACATCCAGCATCCCTTAGGGTTAATTAGATGGGATAAGGAAGGCTTAGCTTACGGATTTTTAGAGAGATGGGTTCGTCGCGAACTCAAAGTTCCTGACCGCCGTCGCATACTTAGCGGGAGGAGTTCTATTTTCGCCGGAAACCTTCGGGTCAAAGTCCGACATTCAACGGCCTCTTGAGACCCTCACGTTTGTGAAATTGGCCCACCTACTCTACTTCTCCACCTCGTGGGGAGCGGCTCTATGGTTCACCTTCATTGGCGGCATCATCATGTTCAAGAATCTGCCGGGGCATCAGTTTGGGAATCATGTCCCCGACGTACTTCACTCTGGTCGGAGTTTGCTGTGTGGGATAGGTTCCGGCTTTTGGGTACTTGCATCCATGGAAGACCTCATTCTGGGGCTCTTGCTTTTAACTATCAGCAATCTTTTACTCTTCACTCCCATGATTACTCCTATCATGTGTTGGTTTGTGAAGAACAGCTTACGAAATTGGTAGTTTCCTTTCAATCTCTTCCCAATCGTTTTATTCAACATACTGATTTAATCGCATATAACCATTAGCCAATTGTAGCTACCATCTGACCATTCCTGTTTTGCGTGTTTGAGTTATGGGGTGATACACCTTAAAGTGTTTTAGATGTTTTCTGAGTTTATAGTGAATAATAACTATGTTGTTGTAAATTAGCATCATTGACCTGATGTGCTTTTTGCCTAAGTGGCGTAGGGTAAATTATGTAGTTCTTCCATGTGGTCTTAGTAATAGTGCATTATTTTAGTTAAGTTATGATGAAGAAA